TTTTTTTGGCTATCTGTTCTGTGGGCGTGGCTTGGTGGGCGTGACAGGGGAAGGATATCGCAATATCTCCATTCCCTCCCCACTCTGGGGCCAGCCAGAGGTGGTATTTGCCGGTTCTCTGAACTACTCAAAATTTCCACTACTGGTTCTCCAGAACCTGTCAGAACCTGCTGAATTTCACCCCTGGGCTAAGTAGCGCTGACAAGGAGAGATTGACCTAAGGAGACTTCTGTGTCTAAGGACTAAAATCTTGATCTCCCGTCTCATAATCCAGCACTTTAACACTATTCAATATGGCTTTCTTGCAACTCTGCCTAATTAACTGCTAGAAAACATCACGGTAGTTTTATGGAAAATTATAATTAGATATATGGCTGATTTGGAAAAATATATCCTTTAGCAGACTTTCTTTATCCCATGGGTCACTTCCACCATGCATGTCTCCTGGGACCCCTTGTCCAAGTTCTACTATGGATAAGGACATGGAACAATGCCTTTTCTGGCATCAGCTGGGTAGTATTTGCAGTATCATACACATCACTATTTTTGGTTCCCTTGGTACATCCCATGATCCCCCACTCTATGTTTTTCAACTTTATCCCCAATGAAGTATCCCAGGGCGTCCTACCTTTTAAATTGTTAATAATAGAAATAGAAACTCTATTGTTCAGTCCTATAAGTAAGACTCTGGCACAATCGAGAGTAATCAAATGTAGTTTTCAGTTCAACTGAACTGATGATGAGGTACAGAAGAGATTTAATTATTTACTTTAATGTCTATTTATATAATCACAGACTGTGAGTGTGTGTGCATGTGCGTATCTGCTTTTTATTTACTTGCATTTTTTTTGTGTCACTTTAGGTGATATCCAAGTTGGAATGATGGACAAAAAGGGACAATTGGAGGTAGAAATAATAAGAGCACGAGGCCTTGTTGTAAAACCAGGTTCAAAGACACTGCCAGGTAAAAGAAGTGTGCTTAGCTCCCAGAACTATAAATGCTGCGATAGTATGGGAGCAATTCGTTTTTCTATAACTTTAACTTTTCCATAACCATAACCTTTAATGAAAGTAGCCTCAGCTTTACAGTACTAACCATCCCTGCAGGGCCTTTTTCTTTAGAGATGAGATCTGCACAATGCAGAATATTACTTTTTAATTCAATTTTTCTCAATTCTGTCCCAGTTTTGATATATGAAATTAATTAATCATGCTGTATGGGCATATGCATGGAAACTCTTAGTATGATGGGTGTTTAATATTCTCTGAGCTTTATTATTTTCTTGCAGACGTTTGATTATCCAAAGTAGGTAACATCATCAGTGCTAGTAAGGAGTGGGGTTCACTTTCAGTTTATGTACTAGTCACTTGCCCTGTCAGTGTTGATAAGAGTAGTCTTAAAAGTTCTTTGGTTGGGCAGTCCTGTTTGGCAGTTCCTTGATTGGGGTATTGTTTACTTGATTACTGGTCTGTCGGAGTTAATCTATGTTTATCTGGGTGCTGATTGGTGATTAGGAGGTGCTTTGGTCTTTTTGTTCCCTTTTTGGCTTTGGATTGTTTCTTTTGCATAATATTGTTTATGTCTATGTGTCTATTGATGGCTAATTTGTCAGAGTGCCAGGCTTCTAGAAATTCCATAGCATTTTTGGTCTAGGATGGTCACAGTTTTCCAATTGAAACTATGGTTAAATCTGAATCCCAAGCTAAACTGTTAGCATTCTTGGGATCCAAAGCTACCATTGTAAGTTTGATTTGATTTGATTTATTTGGCTTGTATGCCGCCCTATTCCCAAGAGATTCAGGGCGGCTAACAATATAAAGGGGAGGGGGTACAAAAATAAAAATAGAAAAGAGCAATTTAAAATTCAACAACAGCCGTAACCTCGAATGGGGCTGGATAGTTCAACAGCCCCAGGCCTGCCGGAATTGTCCTCCTGCTTTGAACCCTAAAGCAATACTAATAGTATTTGCTTATTCCTAGGGAAGAGGGATAAAGAGAATGAGAAGCTTGCATAAGTAATTTATTTTGGTCATTCATAAATGCACTGTGTGAAGATATATTCAGTTGAAGCTAAATATCACTGCCTGCTCAAGGGCATAGCTAATGCGAACATTTTCTTAACAGTTGTTTATATTTTTCCCTCCAAAGCACCATATGTAAAGGTGTATCTATTAGAAAATGGAGTCTGTATAGCCAAAAAGAAAACAAAAGTGGCAAGAAAAACGCTGGAACCGCTTTACCAGCAGCTGTTGTCATTTGAAGAGAGCTCTCAAGGGAAAGTTTTACAGGTAATTTGCATCGCTACTATGCAGATTAATCGTGTTTATTTGTTGATTTTTTTTAAAACTCCTGTGCTGCTTCCCATAAAATATTTCAGTTGAACTGAAAAGGACCCTGAAAAACTCCCGTTCAACAGTTCAACAGTAAAATATACATATTAAAAAACAATTGAAGAGGAATAAAATGAATGAATGCAAATAAATAAACTTTTGTCTCCACTAGCCAATGTAAAGGTAAGCAGCCCTCACATAGGAAGAAAAGCATTCCAAAGAGCCGGCAACCGCATTAAGGAGGTCTTTCTGTAAGTGACCATAAGATAGCATCAGTGGTGGGATTCAGCCAGTTCAGACCAGTTCAGGTTGATTTGGCCGAACTGGTTGTTAAATTGCTGGCTGAACTTGCCCCTTTCTGCCCTGCCCCTTCCAGGAATCCCCACATGCCCTGTGTTTGCTCCCAGGTAAGTGCAGGGAGGCCTACTAGACCAAAAATGGGATGTGGAGGGCTGTGTGTCACGCCCTCCCCCATGGCCCATTTTTGCTCCCAGGGGTGCAGGAGGCCAAGTGCTGCCTGCCATACCCCATGCCCAACCAGCCAAATATTAGGGCAGAGAACCAGTTGTTAAATTATTTGAATCCCACCACTGGATAGCATTGTTAATAGTATTCCCTAGGGAAGGGAAGTGCTTAAACAAGTGTATAATAGAGAAGGCATCCTACTAGAAGCTGCAGATGAGTGTAAACAGACTATATTATGACCACAGACTACCCCCAAAAAGACCACTATAGTAATACATTGCATAATCATTAACAATAATTACTCATTGCAGGGCAAACTTTACACGGTATAAGACAACTTAGCATTGTTTAAGAAAACAGAATTGTCCTGGGAATTTAGAGAGGAGTGAGGAGATCAATTACAAAGAGAGTCACTGTAGAATTATCAGTATAACAACAACAAAAATGGACTGTGATTTCCATTGCATCTACATCAAAGGGCATCTTCATTCAGCAAAGGGAATTTTTCTGTAGCCACCTTCTAATACCTGCTGTGGGAAGAACATTACTAGATTTCTTTTACCAAGTTGTTTACAGATTTAACATACCAGTGATGATCTGGAAGTTTTTAGGTAGCTGGCAATAAGAGCCAATAGGCCACCAGTGGAGCTAGCTAGTAGAATTGTTTAAAAAACTAGTTGGGGGCTGCAATTAAGGCACCAGTCTAAAACCAGGAAACTATGAATTCTAGCCCTGCCTTCAACACAAACCAGCAGAGTGTCCTTGGACCAGACACTTTCTCTTAACGCTAGAAAGAATGAATGGCAAACTACTGAAAATCCACAGGCATCATATCTGCTCGTGCCTGTCTCCCAAGGTCATTCCCACATACCATTAGAGGTCATTAGCACTTGGACAAGAAGACTATTCCTCTTCAGGAAGACTCAGCACAGCTGCTGAGTCAGCTGACGTTGGTAATAGGCATGCTAACTTCAGAAGTCTGTGACAATGATAACTGTAGACGCACCTGCTAATTATTTACCATAAACTTTTAAATGGAGAGTTTTTATAGGAGTGGCATCAGGGGTGAAATCTACTTACCTTTGCTACCAGTTCACAAATGTGAACGCCACCTCCGCATATGCGCAGGACCTTTCGCGCATGCGTAGAGCGTCAAAAATGGACATGGTGATGTCCAGGTGGGTGGGCAGAGCCTGCTACCGAGCGCACCTGCAAAGGTTAGTAGAAGAGCGGGGGGGGGAATCCTCTGTGCCACACAATTTAGATTAATATAATATAAATCACACGTCACAGCTGATTGTTGGAAATACCAGTAGCATTTTTTTTTACTATAAGTTCGAGTGAAGTGGTAGCTATTTTTCTTACCGGTTCGAGTGAACTGGTAGCTAAGAGAAGAACATTATAGCAATATGGCAATAAAACCCTCTCTTCTTCATTTTGGACCGTATACATTTACATTAATTCTGCATACTGTCATGAACCAAATGGTGCACTGAACACCTCAGTAGCTACTACAACAAAAACAGTGTCCATCTCAGTGTGAAGTGTACAAATATGTATGTATGTATATGTATATATATATATTGTTGTATTTGTGCTGATAAATAAATAAAGGGAGACTAGTATAGATCTATTTCAAGCTATTTAGCTCTCATCAGCTAGCCATACCCTTACTGGGATTTGAACCTGGGCTATATTACATACTAGGCAGACATATTAGCCATTAGGCCACAGGCTCTTATCCGTTATCAGCGAAGCCAGGGTGAAAGGTATCTAACAACCGCCGGTATGCCCAAATATGGGAGGAAGATCACTACTTCCATTCTCTGTCCTTCGGCTCGTCACAAGAGACCATCCAGGCAGAAACCCAATATTTTTACTGTTGCCTAAAAAGGCAAGTAGTGATCTTCCTCCCATATTTGGGCATACCGGGGGTTGTAACTCTAAAATGTGTGTGTGTGTGTGTGTGTGTGTGTGTGTGTGTGTGTGTGTGTGTGTGTTGTATTTGTGCTGGTAAATAAATAAAGGGAGACTAGTATAGATCTATTTCAAGCTATTTAGCTCTCATCAACTAGCCATACCCTTACTACGATTCGAACCTGTGCTGTATTGCATCTTAGGCAGATGTGTTAACCATTAAGCCACAGAGTTCGACTCCTTATCAGCTAAGCCAGAGTGATAGGTATCTATTTAGAGTTACAGCCCCCGGTATGCCCAGATATATATCTGATATGATATGATATGATATGATATGATATGATATGATATATATATATATATATATCATCCACCATCACGCAACAGGCCTAGCTGTGTGTTTCTCTATTGAACATCTCAAGATGTGTGAGGCAACTTGTGCTGATAAAAGTTTCTTTTCTGGTTGCTTCCCATAAAATCAAAAAGAAGCCCCTGAAGCATTGGGTGATTGCCTTAAAAGAACTATGCAGCAAGGAAACAGTAGCCTGAGTTTCTGTTTGGGATGGGAGACCAAGTAAGCAAGAGGGAGTAGCTGCTACTAAGTGCTAAGGTTTACGTAGGCCACATGCCTATGGAGATTCTCAGACATATCCAGGTCATGGTTGTCCCAAAGGTGCTTTTTCAAGAGGCAACTAGACTTTCTGGCTTTTTTCTTTGAAGACGTTTTGCTTCTCATTCAAGAAGCTTCCTCAGCTCTGAAATCTTGTAATCTGGAAATGTCTTCAAAGAAAAACCAGAAGGTCCAGTTGCCTCTTGAAAAAAAGCACCTTTGGGTTAGGCCATATGCTTTCCCCTGTCCTTCAATTCCTTCGTGCCTCAGTTGCAAATTGGTTTTCTGCTTGTGGCCTGTTCTGCTCTTGGGTATTAATTTAATATAGCGAAGGCTAACCTTCCTCCCCCCAGCTGTTTTATGGCATAATAATGTTTTAAGCTCTCTATTATGCGAATCCATTTCCAACTTTATAAACAAATAATATCCTACCTTGCTTTTACATAAATATTTAACATACACATACAGACATCCATCTTGTTTTTCCCATTTGAGATAAGCAATTTTATGCAGAGTGCAGAGAAAAAGAAAGAGTTAGCTAAAGGAATTAAATGATAATAAGAAAAGGAAAAGGAAATATAGCTAAAACTATTGTATCCTATTACAATCTACCATAGCTTCTGCCAACCATGCTACCTCCAACTATCTCCATACCCCATTTCATGCATTTCTTCTTTCTACTTCTCATGTCTTTCTGAGGAAGTCATCAACCTCACCCAGCCTCAGGTCTTGCCTTTCTGTCAACCATTCACTCTTTCATGTATCAGTTGTGGGATTTCTCATTCATCCTCTCTATGAACCCCAAACCAATACTGGTTACTCTGTTTTGTATTCAATCTGCATTAATTTAGCAATCAATCACTGTTTGACTCTACCTTCTTGTTTTATCACACATACCTCTTAAATAGCCCATTCCTTCTGTGGTCAACTTACTTTTCTGTTTCTCCAGTCATATCAACTCTCACTTTCATATTACAAAGTGGAGAGAAACTCATAACCATTCTTGCTTTGCCCCCCACATATTTATTTTGTAATATACCATATACTATTTGCTATCTCTCATCTTTGCACTTCTGAACATTTCTTCATCCATTTGTTCTTCTGCCAAAGTACACAGCCTATCTCCTTGCTCTAGTCTTTTGTCATTTATGTATAACTTGCCAATATTAAATCCATTTTTTTCTTATAACAGCTATCTTTATCTTGGCTACATCATTTTCTTTCTTTTTTTAAATTTTTTTTTATTTTTAAGTAAACACAAACAGACAAAACAAAGAACACAAAACCATCTTCCATTACAAATTATAGAAAGTGTGACGGTTGGTTACAAAAACTTCCGTGTGTGCCTTCCACAGTCATCACCTATAATTCTGATCAAATCACACATTTTTAAATCAAGTATGCAGTATTTATATACATTGCTATCATCATACCTCAACCTTCATTTGACTGTAATTGTTTTTACATCCTTTTATATAGAATATTCCAATTTAAAGCAAAACCACAGAATGCCATTCCATTAACTCCTCCCAAAATCATACAATAAGATTACATCTTTATAACATGTTCTAAATAAGAATTGGTTAGTCTCCATTTGCAATTTATACTGAATTTCCTCCTATCAAACCAATACATATATGCATTATTATCATTATCAATCATTTTTAACTATAACCATTATCACTTCATTTTATACATAATACTCTAAATTTGACTAAGTTTAACTTAATTTTTATTATAAGCTTTCATTACATCAACCTGTATCTTTCCAGTAATAGTGCAGTGTTATGTCTCTTGCCATTTGTAGCATTAGCATTTTGATTAATTTCTTAGTAGGTCTTATATGAATTTCTCTTCGCACGTTGTTCATTACATTTCTTATGTAAACTCGAAACCCTCCATCTGCTCCTTCAATCACCTTATCTTTGGTTATCACTAATGCTTCTGATAAAGTTTCTCTCCTTACTTCCATCAGGTTTTCTCTCTTTTCTTCTTCTGTGCTTTGAAGTCTTGGATAGAGTTCCAGTTCATCTATCTCCCCTTTCCATATTCCACTCTTTCCATTTCTAGCCAGGCTCAGTTTACTGTCAGTATCAACAGTTTTCTTGTTTCTTTGCTTATTTTTTCCTTCAATTTTTAGAACTCTGTCCTCCACTTTTTCCATTTGATAAACATCCTCAATTTTTCTATCAAATTTTACTGTGCTGCATTCTATTTTCTCCAATCTCTTCTCAAGTTTCTCTGTTACTGCTAAACTTTTTTGGATTTCAAACATAATCATTTGCAATGTTACGGTTTCTTTTTCCTGTTGCGACATTCTTCCAACTTGTAAACACTGCCACTATAGTATTCGAAGCTTTTTGTTAGATTTGAAGCAAGTTCATTTATAATCAAGGCCCTCTCCTCTCTTCATTCCAGCTGCTGAGAGAGCTCCTGAAGAGCACCTATGTAAACAAACCATGCTCTTCACTATCACTCTCAATAAACAAGCTGAGGAACCTTGAAATGTAAATCAAATGATCAAAGGGAAGAAAAAAAACAGTGTTTCCAAGCCTCCAGTCCCCAAGTGGCAGTGTTACTTCCTTTCCTTCTATTATTACAGCCTTCTTTGTATTCCTTTTAATATCTTCTTTATAATCCAAGCTTAAAGAGAAAAAAACCTTCTTAAATGGAGAAAAAGACCATCCAGTCCAGCATTTTAAAAATAAAGGAATTTTTAAAAAATCAATTGGTATATAAAAAGAAATAAAAAGCAGAAGAAGAAGAAAAACTAATCCATTCAGTTTAAAAAATAGGAAACATTTGCAAAAGTTCCATCCATGAAAAAAAATTAAAAAACAGGGGTAACACACTGTCTAACGTAGCTTAATTTCACCACTTACTTTCTTCTGTTTTCAAATTTAATTTAGCTTTGAGTTTTTTAGGTAGTCTCTTGTCTAATAATAAAATTTCCTCACCAAACACTTTCTCTTTCCGCTTTCCTCCCATTCCGGAGCTGTCCCAACTTCAGCAGCTTCAATGGCTGTGCTTCTATCGCTGGCAAGAAGAGGTTCTCCTGGAGCGATCAGGGACTTTGTGATGTCCCTGAGATCAGCAGGATGTACTCTTCCCTGTCACCATCTCTATGGGATGGTTTAGGTCCAAAAAGATTGTCCAGCAACAGATATATCAACTGCGATCCTGGAGCTCCAAGATCGTACATCGTGTCGTAGCGACATTATCTCCTCCTCCTCAGGCTACATCATTTTCTATATTATTTGTTGTATCATACAGCCGTAATTTATTGCAAATCATTTGGTTCTCATCCAACAACACAGTATCATCTTTGTTCAAAGATTCACATCCCGACCAACTCACTGCTAATGACATCAACATTTATTTGTAAATGCATTAAATAAAAAAAGAAGGCAATACACATTCTCATCTTATTCCCTGCTCAACATTCAACTATTTACTAGGCATTCCATTTATTCTCACCCATGATTTCTTATCCTATATCATTCTTGCTGTGTTCAGCAATCAGCCTTCATCTCTATAGTCACTTAAATGTTCCAGACTTCTAGCTGATTTATTCTGTCATATACTTTCATTAAATCAGCAAACATAATTTTCTTGCTACATTCATGAGCTTATTAATGGCCATTTGAAGTGCAAAAAAGTGTTATACCCATCACCATATGGTGTAAAGCTGCATTGCGTCTCCTAAATTTTAGTCATTGTTACTTCTTGTACTTTTTCTAACAGAATTCTACCAAACAGCTTCCTAGGCATACTTCACAAAATTAATCCTCTGCTGTTTCCATATTCACTCTTTCTATTTTCCCTTTGTGGAAGGGAGCAAAAACAGCATTATTCTCATAGTCAAAAACTGTCTAGCCTGGAGATTTAATAGTGGTCTTCCATTCTTATGCTAATCAGGTCTAACCCTGATTCATTTTTCCAAAATTAGCCCAAGTAAGTTAGATGCTCCCTCCTGCTGTGACCTAAATAGAAGTACAATACAACATTACAACTGAAAACCGCAGCAAATAAAAATGAAATCCAAGACTGCAGATTAAAAGTCCCATAACGTAATTGGTGAACTGGTATGTTGTAGTTATTGGGAGCTGCTTCCAGATTATCATTCATATAGCCATATTTTAAATTGTAAACAATTATTTGGATTGATAAATTTCAATCTAGTTTGGAAGAAAATAGATAAACGCTTTCCTTTTTTTTTTAAACATTTATCATCCTGAAAAAGTTTAGAGTGTTTAAAAAGAAAAAAGAAAAAAAAATCTGAGTGATAGATTGGTAATGAGATTCAAGACATATTACCACTCATTCTGATATGAAAGGACCTAAATTCAGATCATGTTCCACTTTTAATCTCTCCAGTGTTGCAGTACTGAACTCTTTTCAAGACTTTACACTGGTCCAATTTTAGATGCTAGCTTGATTAGCATCTTAAATAGTTAATAACTTAACTATTAAGGAACAGATCTCATAACCTTTGCTGAATGGGAGATGATCAGGAGCTTCAGACCTGAAGACTGATGTGGAAAGAACACTTTA